ATGTTATTTTTTAATTCATTATATATGTATATTATGTAATTTAAATTTAAAAATTTTTATTTTTACTGAACAAAAATTATTATTGAGACATTTAAGTAATTTAGTTACTATTATAATTTGTCTTTCAACTTAACGAGTATTTTAGTATACATTTACCTTTTTTTTTTTTAATAGACTACAATTTTTAAAAAATAAAAATGGAAAATAAAGCCAAGAACCCAAAACTTGATTGAATGGATAGCAAATAATACCACTTCTACTCACCTTATAAGTCAGATTATATATATATATTTTTTGATGAGGGAATTCAATCCTTAACTTTCAACTGAGAAATACACCTTATAAGTCGACTTCTAACTGTTGGTAGTTTGGCACAAGTGCTATATTTACTTTGTTTAAGAAAAGTGACCAGCATCATATGTTACGGCATTCACTTTAATAACAACTTTTTTTGGGCCGTCGAGGCACCATGTGAAAAAAAATGTAAAACATTGTGAAACAAAACCTAGGAGTAAAGAGACTGAGATCAACTTTAATTAAATTTACAACTTGTGGATTTAACTGGGGGAATTGTACTAACTTTATGTTTTACATAAAAAAATCAAATAGAGACAATGAACATTAAAAAATAAATAAAATAGAGATAATGCCAAGGGTCCCATATATCAAATAGTAGTATGTTTCTTGTCCAGATGATCCAAGTATCTTTGGATGAGATCAACGGTGGTACAGTCACTAGAGATTGGATCTTACTGTAACATAATATAATAGCCCCAGTACAACTTCCAAATCTTGTGTAACTCTGTATTTCTTGTCTCAGCTTCATGTCTCTAAAGACACAATCTGAGATTCTGATACATTACTGAAAGAAACAAAAAGAATCCACCATTTTGTTCTTTCTACTCTTGTAGATCTCATCTCAAATGGCTAAACTTAGTGACCTGAGAAAACCCATCAAGGAACTTCACCAAAACCATAAGAACCGGCCTCAAAAGGCTGAGAAGTCACCGTCTCAAAAGGCTGAGAAGTCACCGTCTTGGGCAGTTATGAGAGGCTTTTTCACATCTAAGCATCATCTCCAACCCCAGCATCCCCATCTGCCAACACCAGAAAAGAAGAAAAAGCAGCAACAACCGGTGGAGGTGGAGGAAACTAGCAAGAAATGCAAGAAGATGAGATGTTCAGGTTCCTTATGCAGCAACACAAAGGTCATGCACAGGCCTGAGACGGCTTCCCCTGAACTCCACAAGAAAAGGGCATTACTTGGTTCCTCCAACACCAACGATGCTTCCACTAGATCCATGAAAGCTCCTCTCCGTGAACTTAATGGAGTTGTTTCCGCTACTAATTCCTCGCTCTCAGTATCTTCTGCCTCCTCCGTAGGCGGGTCTTTCAGAGGAATGCCGTTTAGGAGATTCTCCGGCTGCTATGAATGTAGAATGGTGGTTGATCCTGTTCTTGGAATCGCCAGAGACCCTTCTTTGAGAAGTAGCATCTGTTCCTGTCCAGAATGTGGAGAGATATTCATGAAAACTGAAAATCTGGAGCTTCATCAAGCCGTTAGGCATGCAGGTGAGCTTAATTTCTCTTTGGTAGTTAAACTGTTTCTTAGCTTTGAATATATATGTACATAGAACGACTCCATTATAACTTGTAATGTTTATTTAATAAATAGCTATTTCCTGTATGATTTGATAATTTCCCTGTAAATCCACAGTATCTGAGCTGGGTCCGGAAGATACGAGTAAGAACATAGTGGAAATCATATTCCAGTCAAGCTGGCTGAAGAAACAAACCCCCATCTGCAAAATTGACCGAATCCTGAAGGTCCACAACACCCCTAAAACCATCTCCAAATTTGAAGAATACAGGGAATCCATCAAAGCAAAAGCTACCAAGCTCCCCAAGAAGCACCCTCGTTGCATAGCAGATGGCAACGAGCTCCTCAGGTTTCACTGCACCACGTTCACTTGCTCGCTAGGCCTCAACGGCTCCTCCAACTTGTGCAACTCAATTCCCAACTGCAATGTCTGTAGCATTATCAAGAATGGCTTCAAGGAATTCACAGGGGACGGAATCTTGACCACGGCCACCAGTGGCAAAGCGCATGATAAGGCCGGTGTGGACGACGGAAGTGATAAGAGGGCAATGCTGGTATGCAGGGTGATTGCAGGGAGAGTGAACAAGAGTATGGAAGGCAGCATTGACGAGTATGACTCGGTGGCCGGTGCTGCAGGGGTCTATTCTAATTTGGATGAGTTGTATGTGTTCAATCCTAGGGCCATTTTACCTTGTTTTGTTGTAATCTATAGAGGCTTTTAACTTTTCTTCTCTTTTGTGTTAAGAAGGTAAGATTTTCCTGTTTTTGGACCTTTAGGTTGATTGTCTGTGTAGGAAAACGAAATCTTCAATGGAAAAATTTGCTGCTGATGCATGGTGCTTTCCTGTTTCTGGGGAGGGGGACTTTTTCTCAATTTTTTATGTTCTTGTAAAATGGTGATTGTGGGTCAATTTCATTTTTAAAGTGCCCAACCCAGTACAAGGCATTAATTGTTCATTGGAAAACACCAAATAGGACATTGGATGAATAAAACCTGTTTGCCCCATGCTGGAATCAAAATGACAGAGACTACAGTTTTTTTGCAAGTTTATTTATTGAAAGGTAGATAGTTGAAATGGTGGTTCCTAATTCGCTGACCTTGTTTAAATGGGTGGAACCTGATTCTAAATTTATCTATCTTTTGACTCTTGTTTTGTACTCATTATCTCATGATTTGAGTTTTCTTGGTGTTCGATAAAAATACACATAAAAATCAAGCAGCTAAGTATGGGCTCAATAATAAGCAGAAACACAATATTCTAGGTTTCTTATACCTAAAAGTTCTACAATTTTGGCAGAAACAGAAACTAAAAATATTTTTGCATCAGCTGTAAGATGGGTTATGTTATTTTTTGATGCAATTAGTAGACGACATTACCAAGTTTTCAGGTTAACAACTTAAAGGTGGGTTATGGTATCACCCATCAGTTATTACTAAAAGAAAATGGTTCATAACAGAATGGGGCATGAAGAACTTTTCTCTGTAAAAGTCTAGTGTTAGCAGTGCTTTTTGATTTGCAGTCATTGAGAAGAGTAAAAGGAGATGAAAGCAAGAGAACAGAACTCATGCTCAAAGAATGTGTGTGTAGTGAAATGATTGCAAAGAAAGCAACGTAACACTAGATGAAATTGGGCTAAGCGTTTAACATTCTGACCTTGGTATGAGCCCACCATGTTGGTGTTGTCAGCTCTGTTGGGTCAGGCTCAATGGCTGGACCACCTCTGAGTCCATCTATGGAGACAAGAAAGTGCCAAAATGAAGAGTCCTTTTGCAGCAGTATGGAAGAATTGGGGCCTCTTTTCTTTATGAAAAAACCCCACTCAGATTTTCTGTAAGACGGAGTAGAGCGTCAGTGTATTTAGCTTTGCCAAATTCACTTAATTCCAAGCAAGTATAAAACTAGCAGGAATTACCTCTTTATTTCCTCCAATTTGCTGCTCAGGTCGAAATGGTTTGGATGAAATAGGAAGAATTCAATTTTACAAGTCTTCTGGCAGATCATATATCTAAAAACATAAAAGCTGAAATCTCAACATAAATGACTAAATTTGACAAAAGCACCTTAAAAAGTTGCACAGAAGATGTGAATATACTAAAATTGAGTAATACAGTGTAATGGCTAAGGTGATCTTCTGATTGCCTGGAAGGGTAATTCTCATCAAATCAGATTTTGCCAATCACCATTAGCAATGACTGAATCACTCTAGTGCGGTGCCAAGTTATATGCATCAAACCCATCAGCACACGGTCAGGAGGGACACCAAGATTGCAAAACGTTGATCGTTATCAATATTGAAGACAAACAACGAAAAGAAGATAGATGCTGCAAGTACAATGCAAGAAGAAAAATAAAGTCCAAATGAATAAAAGCAGAACAGACTCAGTTACAAATTTTGCTTTTCTCTTTCTTTTTCTTTTTCTTTTTTTAAGTTTAGAAAAGAGAGGAAATTATGCCTTGAGCTCAAATAGTTTCAACCTTAATACAGATTGAGAAAAAAAATTTCAGATTGAAACTGGGTTTTTCCAAAAATAATAAGCAGTTTAGTTACCTTGTGTTAAAATCAAACATCTCGGCAATGCCCACTTAGCTCATTGTTTGAATAAGTTATTTTCAACAGCTACATACATATTGGTAATTCATCTGCACCTCCAGAATTTTAGCAATCTCATCCTTTAATACTCACCATCTTTTGGTCATTATATAGGCCACGGACATCAGGTAACCAGATAGAGCATTAAGCACAAGATTAGATGGATACTATCGCCAAAATATACACGCCAAATTCCATTTGCACTAGGATTCACATTGGAGCTTGATTTCTTAAATTCAAGTCTCAATCCAGCTCATTCCACTTTCCTTTGAGTCTAGTTCCTTTGCAGCTCTCCTCACTTCATCTAAACTATCCCACATTCCTAATGTTGCATAAACATTTGCAAGCATAACATACAATGAAGGATCTAATGGAGAAGTAGCAATCAGGCGTTTAGCAATGATTGGAACAAGTTTGGTGTTTTTGTGAATTCCACAGGCCACAAGCATAGGGCCCCATATTGTTTTATCGGGCTCAAATGGCATTTCAGCAATTAATTCTTCTGCTTCTTGGAAGCGTCCAGCTTGCCCAAGTATATCAACCATGCAATGATAGTGCTCCATTAGAGGATCTATCCCATGCTCTGGTTTCATAGACTTAAAAATTATCCATGCCTGTTCAACCAGACCAGCATGTCTACAGGCAGAAAGAACACTGAGAAAGGTGACCTCATTTGGCTTTAACCCCGTCCGTTTCATTTCATGGAAAAATTCAACAGCTTGCTCTGCTCTTCCATTCTGGCCACAACCAACAATCATCCCTGTCCAACTCACAATGTCTCTTTTTGGTGTAAAGTAAAACAAAACTAAAGCAGGATCAATATCCCCGCATTTTGAGTACATATCAATAAGAGATGTTACTATAACCTCTTCTGATTCATATCCACTCTTAACACAGAAAGCATGGACTTGCTTGCCACTTACAAGAGATGCCAAGCTTGAGCAACTTTTCAGGATGCTTGAAATAACAAATTGATCCACTTGAAGACCCAAGTTCACCATATCTCTAAACAACACGAACGCTAAGGAATAAAACCCAACTTTAGCACACTTCCCTATCAAACCAGACCAAGCTATAACATCCTTTGCTGGTAGCCTATGAAAAATACTCAATGCATCCCTAATGTTCCCTAGTTGTACATACAGATCAATTAGAATGCTTCCAACAATCATATCTAATCCATACCCATATGTCACAATCAAACCATGAACTTGACACCCAAGTCTAAAGTTGAGTACATTGATGCAGAGTTTCACTGCATTACTAAAAGTGCAGCAATCAAAACATGTACCAGAAAAATAAATTTCTGAAAGCATATGGATAGCTGCAATATTGTCTTTGTTGACAACATATCCAGAAAGCATAGAATTCCAAAGTGCCAAGCTAATGCAAATTGATGCACCATGTCTTGTATATTGATTGAATAAAGATCTTGCTTCATTTAACACGTTGAAATTTGAATACATATCCACCAGCGCAGACACAGTGAAACAGTTATACTCCAAACCTGACTTGAGGGCATAGCAATGAATCTGCTCCCCCATAGTTAATGACCCAAGGCAGCTACAAGATTTAAGAACGCATGGTAATGTGAATACATCAAGCTTAAGTCCATCTCTGTGCATCATAGACAAAAACTCAAATGCACGCAAACTCCCATTGTCGACAAAACCAGCTATGATGCTGTTCCATGATACAGCATTCTTTTCTGGCATTTGGTGGAACAAATTCAGTGCCTCGTCCATTAAACCAGCCTTGCAGTACCCAGAAATGATCGTGTTCCATGAAGTTGAATTTGGAGACGGAATTTCATTAAAAACTCTCTTAGCAGCACTCAAACTTCCACATTTCACATACATATCCAAAAGGGCATTCATCAAAACAACATCATAGTCTAATCTATCTCGAAAAATTCTCTCATGAATCAGTCTACCTAGTTCAAGGTCACCCAGAAAGCCACAAGCTTTCAGAACTGCGGAGTACAAGAAACCGTTTGGCACCTGGGATTCAGATGCTAGCATCTGCCGGTACAGTCTTAGAGCTTCATAAACTCTTCCGTTGTTGACATATGCAGAGACCATGGTGGTCCAAGTAACAATATTTCTTTCAGGCATTTCATCAAAGAGTTGATGTGCGTCAGAGAACAACACTAAATCGACATACATGTATATCAGATTGTTAGCCATGAAGATATCGCGGGAAAACCCAGTTTTGATCAGATGAGAATGGAACGATTTCCCATGCCTGGAAGCCTGAAGCCGCCCACAATGGCGTAGAGCTGCTACTATTTGCCTCAAGTCCATCTGTGTCCCTTTACGGCTTTCTCCGCTGTTCACCAAAAAAAAAAAAAAAACAATGTAATACACAACCATGCATTAAACTTCAGCGGTGGTGAACTCCAATTAAGCCATAGTACCACGACAAAACAAAAAATATATATTACATATATTGTTACAAAAGTATGGAACAGGGTGACGTCGGTTAGGCATAGCCCATTGCAGCCCCAAAAAGATCCCATCGAAGTTGCAATACAGATTTGCAAGCAGACTCACACTGACTTGGCCAAGCGTTCTTGGAGCTTATAACAAAGATTTGACATTTGGTAGAGCAACTCACATTGTTGTTCCCGTGATGTTAATGACTGAGTTGTTATCCGTGATTCAGGGTCCCTGAGTAGCTGGTTGAGCTGAGAGCATAGCACGGAAGCTTCCTGATCATTGGCACAAGATTGGGTTACAAGTTGCAGCAGCTGACAGCTTTGATCTTGAGTTGAAGATGCTGGAGGAACAAGAAAAGGATGTTGAAGGAGCTGTGGAATCCTCCACCTTTTGTTGCGGTCCCATGCAAGACATTTTTTCATAAGATCAAGAAGCCATGGGTTGGAAACTGATCCATATGTTATTTCATGGTTTGGGTCTGTTATGACTTTGAACTTGGACCAGAACGTCTTGTACTCCGCAAAAGGTGTCCTTCCATAAACCATCTGATAAAGTATGCAGCCAAGGGACCAAATATCTGATGGTCGACCACATTTTATGGTATTTCCATTTGCATCACTCTCATTGCACATGAATGCCTCTGGAGACATGTAACTCAAAGTACCTACCTGCAGTAGCAGGGTAAGCAAAATTTAAGACTTCAAAATGTCTCCTATGGTCATACCGTTGATAACTCAATAGAATATATTATGTCTTTTACGTCTTTGAAGTGATTGTTGCCATGCAGTATAAACATGAAAGTTATAACTTTCAGCACTATTCAGTTGATGGGGTTATCAACTGTGTTTCCAACACTATTTTGACTCAAAATTGTAAGAGGGAAATGAGGAATTGCTACCTGTGCGTCCCTTTGGATGTTGGTTGTATCACTCATGATGGCTTTGGCAATACCAAAATCAATTAGCTTTAGAGAACCTTTGACAAGAAGGAAATTAGCTGGTTTCAAGTCAGAGTGCACAATCCGTTCCTCGTGTATAGTGTTAACAGCTTCAAGTATTTGCTGAAAATTGTTACAGCAACAAAATATGTGAATCTTCCATCTTACTGAATATGAAATGAGAAAGACCTAAAAGCTGAAGAGTGAAGACAAGGTCCACAATATGCCAATCCAGACATAATTATCAGAATAAAACATAATAGCCCATAGATTTCCTATCATTCACAACAAGGATCCTGATTCTGATTCCTGAGTAAAATTTGAAACAGAAAGGAAAGGACTTCAGGTAAAGGATGGCTTGAGAACCTGCCAGTAAAACCGAAGCCAGTTCTCATCTATGGTCTGATTGGAGCTATCCATTTCTTTCCGTTTCTGTGACAGCATGTGAGCTAAATCAATTTCTCCGTATTCAAGTACCATGTATATGTATCCATCATCCTTGACTCTGCCATCTTTATTAGTCAAGGAGCCACTCACAACTTCCCGGAGCAAATTCTTATCTGTCACCTAATTGCAAGCACAATTGTTAGAAATACTGCTAGATACATATTTTGGATAAGCATTTCAGTCACTAAAAACAAAGAAATATTTAAAGTTGATACGATGAAAGTCCTCAAGACAGGAACATGCTACAGTGATTTCTAATCTGCATTCCTATCTACAGTCACACTAATTCAACCACAGCATTAACCTTATTTCTGTCAAGTACTCTATCTGCAGTGCAAGTAGAATAATATTAAAGGTAAGTTGATAAAAGATATAAAAGTTTTAAAAATTTTTCAACATTTCAAATGACACTGAAGAAGCAAACCTATACCAAATTAACATGGAGATGGAGTACCTCATAGTCTATCAGCTGTATGATGTTATTCTTTCCCTTCAACTTGTTTAAATACTCAATTTCCTGGCAAAATCCAAATGCAGTAGCATAG